TAATTAAAATTGGCCAAAGAATGTACTGGCAGAAAAATCTTAGAGGCAATGAAATAAGAACGCTGAGACGTAGATGCGTAGAAATACTAATTGCGTAGATACTTGATGCTTAGAGCGTCCATCCATTTTTGAAGAGGGAGCAGTCGAGCCGGATTAAATTCCTTTTTTATTTAAATTCTCATTTTGTGGCCACAATTCACTTGGCACTCTACTCCTGCCTATTAAAGACATTTACAATTTTGATATTATTGCCATAGAAGCGAATATAGCAGCACACACATGATTGAGGAAAGACGTCTGGCCAAGACGAAAGCACAAGCAAAAGTGACGCATCAGTTCATAGAAAAAAAAGGAAGGAAGTCAAGTTTCAGTTTTTTAGTTTTGGTTTGCAGTTTGGTGATTGGTCAAGAGGCATCTGCATTAAGGGTTACGAAAGATCGCATGATTAATTTGAATTACACAGTTTAGACTTACAGCTTTATTTTTTAGGACAGAGCGTGAAGTTTCCAAATGAAATAAAAAATAAAAGAGGTTATAGTGAATTTAATTTAGAAGTTTGCCTTCATATTTTTTATCTTACATATATATATATGAATATGTAATGAAATGTTCAAAGCCGGCTTTTGTTTATTGTTCAGTGGGTACTATTCGGTTTTGAGGGCCGTAAGAAATCGCCAAATTATTTTTGATGCCAATGCTGCCAAAAAGAATTGTGGCAACCCTAATAATTGCGGCAAGAAAGGAAGTATAATAAGAAAGGAGGTATAATAGTTAATAACTATCTAAGATTGATGTTTTAATGTAGATCAGGGGTCTTCAAACTACGGCCCGAGGGCCAAATCTGGCCCGCGAGCACTAATGATCCGGCCCGCCAGAGGGTTTTTTAAAAATAGTTTTATAAAATCAAAGTAACAAATAATACACTTTAACTATTTTATATAACATGATAGGCAATGCATTTCTAGATTGAAATGCATTGCCTATCATGCACGTTATTTATAAAACATATAATAAATGTTATCTAAATTTATAATCAGGGAAATACCGTAACACTCTGTATAACAAATCTCATGTGGTCCCCCAAGACTTCCTCATACGTCCTTTAAATTACACACATATTTTGACTTCTGACACAGCCGCTTGCTACCAAAAAGGGAGGTGCACAGGTATATGTTATATCAGTCCCACATACAAAATATCAACGTTTTGAGGCTATTTGTTTTGAGTTATGCGAAATATATGATACGTACCTACAGACGTCACAAAAAATATCTCTCCTGAATTCATTTTAAATCCATTTTACAGTCCGTTTTGGGGAAAAGGTTCCTTTACTCTATCCGTATGTACAGATGTCATGCCAAAAAATCGTTCAAATGGATTCGAGAGCGGTCAAAATTGATATTTTTGTTAAAATATGATATCCGAATTTTTTTCGTAATTACAGTACTTTACTTCGTACAAGGAAGTAAAAAGTTCTGATTGTACTTTTTACAAGAATAAAGGTTTCGTGTATTATCGTTCCTACTTTCATAGTAGTTTTATAAGTTGGTTCATAGAAATTTTCAGTAGTGATTTTATTTAAATCTTAATTTTTGTTCTGTATATGCTGTAGTTTACTTTAATTTTGGACGATTTTTTTCACACAAAACTTGCCCAAGATATGAAATACTTACGAGCGAAAGTTTGCAGCTGATCAAAATGTAAAACAACGTTGTTGTGTAAACAACAACGTTGTTTGTTTACATAGTGCTAAGTCCCGTTGTAACAACGGGGAGGTAAATCCATTGAAAAGTAAAGTACATAAATCGAAGAAATGTCTGATATTCTGAGACAAAAATATATTTTTACAAATGTTTAAAATCAGCTTTAAGAAATTTATGTTAGGCGAAACTACATGAAAGTCTAAACAACAAGGCTGTTCATAAGATCATAGGATACAGATCCAATCACAAAAATATTTACTGCTTTGGTTAAAAAGGTGTATGCTCTTCATCATAGTGCAGCGCCGTGGTATAATGGATTAAGTGGATCTTCGCTCTCGAAACTTCGTAAAAAGTAGCGCCAATGTGGCCCGCGGGCTGAAACGTTTGGAGACCCCTGATTTAGATGAAAGGTTAATTTCATATAATACTTTTTTATTATTATAATTTATATGAAAAAGGATAAACATGACTGAATGGAAGCATAAGAGTAAATAACTACTTCAGATCATTATTATAATTTATATAAAAATTGCTAAACATAACTGAATGGATGCCTGCATCACTATTTCGCTACCGACTTATAGCTAAAGCATAATTTCATCTCGTTGGTTGTTCAAACGTAATTTTCTATAATGAATGATGCCTTTTCTTTGAAAATAATTTTGCTAAAGTGCAGAATCGCTCACTTATTTGTTTGTCGCTTTTTACAAGGGTAAAAATAATTGCATGTTTGTCAATTTTCTTTTACTTTTTAAGTGAAAATAGGTTGATCTGTACATAGATAAAGTCAAGGGTGTGCGCAGTGCCATTTTTGTGCAATTCTAGGATTTTTTTTTAAGGGAAAATAGGTCGATGTGCACATGGATACCAAGTTTGTGCAATTCTTAAAAACGCGTCAAGCAGTGGGTGATTCTGCACTTTACCCAAAATTCTATTGCCGACTTTTCGTCATAGGCAATTCCCAAATTGTTAAATCCATAGGATATCAAAAAAGGATTTAAAAATTAAACTATTATTTCAATGGCGTCTTAAGAAATAAGAACTATATAAACTTACGCAATCTGAAATCAACGCGTACGTTAGACTTGGCGCGCTGTTAAATGGGGGCGTTTGCTAGATTTGGCGCTTTTGCGCTTACATTTTCGCTGCAATTTTCTTACGGCCCTCAAAACAGAATAGTACCCTTCAGGGTTATACTCTAATAGTCTGAATATATTATAGTGCAATCAACAATATTTTATTCAATAACTTTAAGCAAAGTTCTGGGAAGGCAGTTAAGCACAGCTACTAAACGACACTCTTTTATTCCCCGACAAACCCGCCGCACACACGCTGGAGCGGAAGGATATCAGCAACTTTTTTTTTTTTTTTTAAAGCGAAAAACATACTTTCGTCAACTTCGACAATATTACCAGTGCCACCAATTTTTACTGACGGTCTAGACCAGCAGAAACCTTTTGACTAACGCGTACCATTTAAACGAAAATTGAAAAACTTCAGTACCACCACATGAAAAGGCATTCTTACTCTTTAAAAAAAGTAAACATTGTAAGGACTTTAAAAGTAAACACTGACGACTTGATAAGTGCTTTCATCAACACTCTCGACTCATCAATTTCTTCGCGAGCTTAGCAAAGCTTTGGTGACGATTCTTCTTCTGGTAATAGAACAGCACCTCAGCAATTGCTGAAATGTGACCACCAGAAAATATCTATCTAAAATAAATTTTGAATATGTTTCTGTATGTTGTTTATTTAAATAAATTGCGTTCAAAATCGTATTAAATAAAATAATAAATATACCATTTATATTAAATTGCGTCTGTATGTATATAGTACATTAAATTAATTGTGTACTGCAGATATTGAATGAATTACTCGTCTGTATTAGTAACCGTCTGTTTTACGCGAAGGCGAAACACTGCAACTCCCGTTTCTCGCCAAAGCCGCTGCATCACAGATGTACCGTAGTAGCTACAGCGGTGATATTCTTAAATCATTAGGATATTAAGCTTCGAAAACAGTTCTAGATTTGGTACTTTTTTTCTACGTTCTGTTTCCTTAAGCAGACCAAAAGCTATCGAACTATACTTCTTCTATACTGTAATCTCTATTTATTGTGCGCCAGCTCAGGAATTATCTCATTAGCCAGCTCTTATAGCATAAAAAAAATTACCGCTATGTGAAAAAGTGATTAGATTTTTTGGCAGATATTATTGTCAACGTTATTTATCAGAAGAATATAATGGTGGAAAGAAACTTGAAACATTACAAAAGTAAACATGATAAAAGTTTAAAAGCAAAGATTCTTTATTTTGGTAATTTCTGTTGTGAAGAAGAAATTTCCAGCTCCCTTTCCATGTTAAAAGAATTGAAATCATTATGCATTTTAATCTTCTACTTCTTTTTAACGTGATATTTGAGCTTACATTAAGCTTAAAATTAATATAAATGATTATAAAACTTTTTGGAAAATGTATCATTAAATCAAAATCTAGTAAAATGAATTTCAAGTTATACGATATCATTTTATTGTAACGAGATATAGTTGAATTAAATGAATGAGCAAACGAGTGAATAATAACTTTTGCATTCTAAGCACGTTTCATGAAACCAGTCTCAGAGCTCTAATCGTATGATCTCGCATATTTGGCACCTTATCGTCGATTACAGTTGACTAAGCGTAACGGATGACAAGGTATGTTCCAATACAGACATTAAAAGATTTGTGAACAAAGTTTCTGACTTGTTTTCCTTTTATTTTCTCAGTTTTAAAGACATGATATATTTTTGAAATAGGGAGCTATCTATTTAAAGTAAAAGTAAGCTCATCGACATCATTACTGAGAACAACGACTCAGTATTAACATAGCAGCGCCAGCGATAAAAAAGAAAGCAAAAGACAGTTTTAGAACATCATCGTAAAACAGTTTGATTAAAAAAGAAGCACTAACTAAATTGAATAATTTCAAAGTTATCGTCGCACAATACATAGTGGTGAAACATAAAGCAAATATAAAACAAATTTCTATGCATTTCTCATCTTCTTAAACGTATAAAATGCATCTCCTGGGCTGATACTAGATGTAAGATTTAAATTCTCTAAAGCCATTCTTTAAAATAATTGGAATGGTTATTATTAAAACAGCGACAGAAAAATAGCATATTTCAAGTAGATATGATATGAATGTGTTGAATGATAATTGAATATGAAACATTCAGAAATTCTTTTTAAATAAAGAAATTACAAGTAGAGCAGATTTTTTGCAAGCACACAAAAGATATAAACTTAAATTAATTACTGAGTCATTTCTCCCATTCTAGCATACACATATCGATGGTCTAAGAATTCATCAGGCGATCTGGACCTGGGATCATAAATATTGTCTAAATTCAAATATTTCACACCATCACCTGAAATTAAAAAATGAGCATGAATTTCTGTGAATTTCATGGCTTATTTATCATTGTTTATTGTAAACATCTGTTTGCTTTTAGCTATTCAAAAAAATCAAAACAAACAAAACTTGCAAGTTCATATGACAGCATAATGCTTTTCTCGGGGAATTTTTTTTTCAGATTACTATAGCGTGATTTTGCGTGCCTAGAAAACAGAGGTAAACAATTCAAATACCTGCAATGATCTTTGATGCAATAATTTGCTTATTATCCAAAAACACGCGAAGATTATCTTTTTTTAAAAAAGACTTTCCTTTGTGATGAACTTCGTAATTGGAAATGGCTTTTATTACACTATATGATAGATTACACACATGGAGAAATTACGTAAATTTCGCGGCTCAAACCTCTTAAATTAAATTAAACAGTTTCATTTTCTTTAAAGATAAACAAATGCGACGATTTGCATAATCATAGGTCTTTAGCAGAAAGCTTATTATTATTTTTCGAATCATGATGTTTTAGAACACAAACGATAACGGCAGAAATTCAATTATTCTCTTAAATTTCCGAATGAGGAGCGCGATCACCTTCATATACACTGGTTATCATAAATTAAGGAAAAATCACAAAAATCACGATTTATGAAAAAGTTACATGTAGAATTTAATGAAGCTTACCTACAATATACAACACATAGTAAGGTATCAAATAACATAAAAAGAAATTACCAGACAAATATGGTAGTATAGAAATTAGCACATGTATAAAATGAACAAATCGAAGGTGTCAATATGCTATAGGAAAAGTACCTTCAATATGGAATATGATCGCCTCAAAAGCCATACAGCACATACAGCGATGTGTGATGCTTTCAATTCTGTGGTCTATCAGTTCCATAGGAAGCAAGAGCCATTGCTCTTGCAAAGCAGTTGCAAGCGCGACAAGGCTCTGAGGGGGCGGATTGAGAGCAGCTAGACGTCTCCCTAAAGCATCCCAAACGTGCTTGATAGGATTCAAGTCCAGGGATCGAGCTGGCCACTCGATGCGCATAATTGTTTCCTGTTGAAGATAATCATCTACGATGCGAGCCTTGTGTGGTCTTGCGTTGTCGTCCTGTAACAGGAAAGCATCACTAATTACCCCGGCATATGTGCGCACATAAACATCAAGGATGTCATCTCTATAAATCTGAGCATTTCCGGTTTCCCTTGGAAAGACATGGAGGTCTGTGCGTCCACCCAAAGAGATGCCACCCCAAACACAGACACTGCCCTTCCGTATGCATCTCTTTCACGGATGTTTGACAGAGGATAATGGGTTCTAGGTTTTCTTCATATCAAATAACACCTACTAGCGCTTTCTAGACTAAACCTGGACTCATCCATAAAAAGAACGGCCCTCCATTGATCAGGTGTCCAGTGGACATGTTGTTGTGCCCACTGAAAACGGTCTCTCCTATGGCGTGACGTAAGAGGCACTCAAATGGCTGGTTGCATCGCATACAGACCACCTTCGTAAAGCCTTTCATGCACAGTTGATGTTGATGCGAACCTTCCATTGGCTGCAGCAAGGGAGGATCTAAGAAGAGTCGGAGTAGCGGTTCTATTCTTGCATGCACATAATGTCAAATATCGGTCATCGGCGCTCGTCGTAGCAGTTGCCCGTCCTTGGCTGAAACTTCTAGATGCCGAATCTGTGGTTTGAAATTGCCTCCAAAGTCTATGAACCCCAGAAGGACTCACATTTAGCCATCTGGCCACTTCTCTTTGACTTTGTCCTGCCTCTAGTCTCCCAATGGCTCTCCATCGCAGTTCTGCAGACAAATGATGCCTGGAGGTCATTGTTACGAATTTGCTATCTCGGATTTCTGATGTCATTGTCACAGTGAAATATGTGGGCTTGCTCTCAAACATGGGCTTTTAGGCTCCTCGCAGATGACGTATTCCGAAAGCAACGCCACTAATTTGCATATCGCAGTTTTACTCAGCTACCCTTACTTGGCAACATATTCAAATTTTATACGGTTTTGCTTATTTTTGAGGGAGTTATCGCTATTTTTGTGATTTTTCCTTAATTTATGATAACCAGTATATATATATATATATATATTCAGCAAGTTTCATTAAACACTTCAAACAATGAAACAAGTACTGGGAAATATTTAAATCAATTTAAACATGATGGAATTCTTAAGAAGATAGAAGAAATTGGGAATATGTAGCATATGACTGCTATTAACTTTGTATAGTGGATTTTTATAAGGGAGGTACAGCTGTTTAAAGGATAGGTTACGGTGGCGCATAGGGAACAATCGAGTGATGACTACTTTACAATGTTGAAGGTTGATAGAAACATGGCATAGAAATCAGTGCAAACTTGCTGCAATAGAATGAAAGACTTGACTTAAATATTAAGGTTCTCGTTAGATTGTCTATGTTGGTATTTTCTAGCATAACTAAATTTACTCCTTTGGGGGGGATAAGCTTGTCTTCCCAGAGTCCTGGGATGTGGGTTCCATAAAAGGCTGACTGCTGGCGAACGAAAAAGACGTATCTTTCTGCTAGTGAAAGAAAAAGAAGCAAATATAAAAAATTACTAGAAAAGCAGTCCGTAAAACAAAAGTTTCGAAAATGTGGCACAAAAAGAAAAATTATAGAAATTTCATAACTGATTGTAAAGTACAGTACATACATAGACCACGTAATCAGTTGTTCAGTGATTACTGAATATAAGATGCAGAAAAAATTCGAAAACAACTTGATAAGAATATTTACATAAGAAATTGTGCATAATGATACATATGAGATTTTATAGGAGTATAATGACTCCCAAGAAAATAAGATACTTGTCTCGTAATAGAATTGAGGAGTAAGTGAACGGCGTAAGATCTCAGATATAAATTTTCGATTACATTGTTCCTGCAATAATTGAGCAGAGTTTTTGAACAGAATTTATTGTTCATTCTAATAACTTTGCTACGGAACGTTTCTTTCCATTGTTGATAAATTCATGAATAATAGGCAGCTTCAGATCTTTGTGCAGCACACAGTTTCTGGTGGAATAATGCAAATTACTAATAATTTTAAAGAAGTTATTCTAGAATCTCCGAAAACCAAGGAGGCACTTCAAGACCAAGGCTTTCATTTCAGACAATTTCTCCTATATTTTTTCTATTGCCTTATTGGGCTTTCTAGAATTACATAAAAATTGCGGTGTCTTCGGTACAGCTAGCCAAAAAATAATATATATTGTCTTCACATTCTGGAAAATCATACATTTACAAATGATACAACGCCAAGAAACAGAGCCAAGAACTGGCATTTGGGGGACCACCGATGTAAATTGTCTTGGTAAGACAGTTACAGTGTCGTCGTTTAACTATCACTGATCTGTTAAGTAGAAAGATGATAAGAATCAGGTCTTTTCTCAAGTCTAGCTGAATTATTCTGTTTATAAGTCTCTCATGCCGAAGGTGGTTAAAGACTTTTGCCACGTCTAGTATAAGGAGGGCAACATTTTGCCTATAGTGAATAGCAATAAGAGTGGTTCCTTTAAATTTCCTCTCAAAGGACCAAAAAGAATTATCTTTTAGATTCAATGATTCAGTCTTTGCATTTCATAGCAGATTTTTAGATTACTAATCTGTTATTAAGATACAATAATCATTTGCGGTTTTGCAGCTGAGGATGGTGGTTCGGTAAAACCATCGAAACTAGTCCTGCGAAAATTTTGAAAATATAACGCTGATTTTTGTTGTTTTACTTCCGAATTAATACTAATCTGTTGTTTAATTCAGCGACTGAAGGCATTATTCTGCGCTTTGATACCTGAGTCCCAAGTAAAATGACACTGATTGTATTCTGAGTTTGATATTCTGTCAGATTGTCATGGGAAATATACCAGGCAAATCTCTTTTGCGTTGGCAGTTTGACCTGAGACTTGAGGATCTAAAGATTAATCTTTCACGCTGTATCTTAAGCATCACAGTTAACATATTCATAAAGCGTTCATAAATCATAGCTTCGTTCAAACTTACTGAACAAGGCGAAACTATAGATAATAAATGAAGATAAATTTGCGCAGTGTGATCTCGCACATGAAAAGGTGAAAGTAAACTTATGCGTAATTCTTATACCAACTTCCATGACGCAACAGGATCTCGTTGCGAAGCAAGGATGTTATACTTATGCCACTTATGACTATCAAGTTATAGTGTGAACGTTTCTCATGGTGTCAGATATCGAGGTTTGTTATGCTAGATGACTTCATAAAAGTGAATTGTTTCCTCGGTAGTTAGTATGTTGTCTCTATCTAACACCTGCTGTTTGCATCATTATTTCTGCTGGTTCAATGAGCAAAAAGACTAGACAACAGTATAATAATGTAAGACCCTATTTATTAAAATAAGAATGAAGCCTTATCACTAATTCTAGCTGTCAATTATTCTGGTATGAGTTTCGTATACGATCTCACAAATGTAAAATAGATCGATATCCACGTCGAAATTATCTTACCAAGGAGTCATTAGTATTAAATGGACGATATAGACTAAATCAAAAGGGATATACTTAGAATTTATTTTATAGACTATTGAAACTTACTTTATGGATGATAACACGATGCCTCATCGCAGTGCGACTGTTGATACTCCTTGGAAAGTTGATAACGGGGTTCGAGTGAATGGCTTGACCGTTTCTCCGTTTTAAGTCCCATTAAACACATGTTGGAATTCCTGGGAACTATTTTATGAAATGTTCACACTCATTGAACACCACTGAATAGATGAAAGCTGCGCTGACAGAGAAGTGTGCAGTGCTATCGCAAGAATGTATCGAACTCCTTTCAAAGTATAGATATATGATGCAAAACTTGGAAGACCATACCGTTGTTTTATCTCTGACGGTAATTCATCTAAATATCAGTGAAGCAAGGCAGTATAGACGTTTTTTAATGTTCTGTGTAAATTTTATACCTCTGATTGTTATTGTGCTGTGTTCATTTTTACGTCTTTGCTCCCAATGATAATGTTTTCTCGCCATATCCATATACTAAGTATTTATTCCTTTATCCAATACGTCGTACTGTTCTAAACTATGTCCAGTACAAAATGGGATTGTTAAGTTTTGATCATCAATATAGAAACTTTAATGCCTCTTAAAAGAAGGAACTGTAAAATTACATCTGTTATATATTCTCAGAAATCAAAAGAATGTTTCAAGAAAACATTTATCTGAACAAGAAACTTTTTTCAAGAAATATTTTTCAAGAAACATGAATCTCTGAATCAGAGTAATTTTATGAAAGTAGCATTATAAGTGCTTATTTATTTACAAAAGTGTATATAAATATGAACAGTATCGAATATGGTATAAACGGAAAAGTGCAATGTATAGTATATCTTCGTATTGCATATTAGCAACATTAATGCAATATAAAATTCGCTTGTTCATTTGCTGAGTAATTAAAGGCACTAAACTTTGGTACTTTACTCCTGATTTAATATAATTATTTATTATTAATTTTCATAAGATTCGATTAAAGATGAAAAGGTAAAGTTTTTATAGACTGTGGATATTTTCAAAGTTTATAAAATACTGTATAACGTGTTAGTTTATATTTAACAACAGATGTAAGCTAAATTAAACTTCATTTAAAAAATGACGGTATCTTTAGTGTTTATTAAGTAAAAATAAAAGAAATACATTAAATGTAAAATGCTTGCTGTAAATAACGATTAAAATTTCAATACTCAGATACTAAGCTTGTTTTCAGATGTTTGTCAGGGTGAATACAATGTTTTCTATTTTTTGTAGTCAATAATAACTTAAAACAGTTCTATTAAAGAAGAATATGCTTAGTTCTAGGCGATTACAAAGCAATATTAGAGTGTACTCAGTGCCCCTATAAGCACCTATAAATTTTATATTATTCGGTATTTGAAAAATTAACTCCGATACCATTTTCTATGTAATATGAGAGTTTTAGGTTTAGAAAGCAGAGTTTATTAAGGACACAAATAGTTTTATTTGTATTCGCGTACTTATTTAAGGGGCTTTTTGAAACTATGATACCAATTAAAAATCAAGCACTGGAATAAAGTCAAATAAAACCAAATCTTCAGAATTCGTATCACAAAACACACACACGACGAAAAACAAGGAAAAACTTAAACATATATATATATATATAGTATTCTCAACATTAAAAAACATTTAACAGTATTTGTAACAGTATTCAGTCATTGCACATACTGAGAATCTATTTTTGCACTTAATTCTTAATTGAGTACGTAGTTGATATTTTTATGTGCCCATCATCAAAATTAAAATACCTTAACAAAATTTAATGCTCTTTTTACATAACGTACGTAAGTGATACCTACGCATAAAATAATTTTTTAATATGGGATTTGTATTTTTGATTTTATTTGCATATGGTTGTACAGTGCGAAATATTTGGAAATCACCATGGTTAAAACATGTTTCAAACTCACATACCTGTCATTATTCGTGAGTAAGTGAAATCTATAATGGTGGCTTTAACTCCATAAGTTTCGACACTAAACTTCTGATTGCGAAGCTTGAAGTCAAGTTTCTTTTCTGCGCATTCTTTTATTAGAATATTTTCCACGTGCAAATCGCGATGTTCAAATTCTAATTTCTCCTCAGCCACAGCAACAGCTAACGCCACTTGTTTAAAGATGGATATTGCTTTGAGATAACTTCCAACCTAACATAAAAAATTCACTTTCTGAGTGCAATGTAACAGCTCTAAAATTACAGTATTTTGGTAACTATACATAACTATATATTTGTAACTATACATAATTATACCTTTTTTACAAATTTTGACTATCATCAACATCAATCCTGAAAAGTTCTTTTTTATCAGAAAACAAGTGGCATACATATCAAAAACTGCAGAATACATTTCTCCTTAGTGTAGCAATATTCTTAGAAGATTCAGGAAGACTAGTAATGGGTAATATAGAATCACTTTTTCCTTTTTATCCCGATAACTAGTATTCTATATGATGATACCATAAAGAAGATATTTAAAACCACAATTTTGCAATAATAACAACTGAATTAAGTGCGGTTTTGTTTACGCAATTTATATAATAACTTTCACATTTTTAGCATCCCCTAGTAACATCTTAATGAAATTTTAATGATCTAAGTAATATCTTAACGAAAACAGCAATTTTTGATTTGAATCTTCAGCTTAGATATGAACAGCTGTTAAAGAAATAAAATACTGTCTTCTCATACATGATTAGAAAACAAACAAAAAAAACTCCTATGCATTAGCTCCTTTTGGTATTATTACTTCACTTTAACATCTTATATTCTGGACTTTTCATGTATTTTTGAAAATAAGAAATATATTAAGTACGATAGTATAACAGCAATTTTTGATTTGAATCTTCAGCTTAGATATGAACAGCTGTTAAAGAAATAAAATACTGTCTTCTCATACATGATTAGAAAACAAACAAAAAAACTCCTATGCATTAGCTCCTTTTGGTATTATTACTTCACTTTAACATCTTATATTCTGGACTTTTCATGTATTTTTGAAAATAAGAAGTATATTAAGTACGATAGTATTCAAGGAGATCTCTCAGCCATCAGTTGGTGCTATGAGATCGCAAGGACATAAATATCAGCATTTACTTAATAACTTTTATCGTATACTTGGGAAATAAATTTGATATCACTCCATTTTCATCATTTGTACTGAATATGTTAGTGTATTAATTTTAGAATCTAATTCTTATTCATCATTACTATGAATGACTCAATGTGCATTTGAAGAGTATTCTCAAAATTTACAACTTTATTTGTGCACCTTTGGAAGCAAAATATACAATTTACAAACAATTTTCAATCATAGCATTTACAGGTTAAAGAGCTTTGACATGCTATATTATTCTTTTATACCTGTTAAACTGAAACAACACTTTGTATTTCTTCAAAAATAAAATTGCGGTACGTATTTACTTCTGATATTTTCTCTTGAGTCAAAGGCATCGAATTCAGAATTCGTTAATAATTTTAAATCCCATAGCCATAGATATAAATCTTTTATTGAAACTGAAGAGAGTATATTAGAATCAAATGTACTTTTCAAGAATTAAAAATGTACTCTTTTGACCCAGTTTGTTGCATCTTTAGGCCATTAAATTGTCAATATTTCACTGTGGCAGCATTCGTCAGTGTTCAGAGCATACCATTCTTTAGATAATAGCAAATAATACTGAAGAGTAATTTTTTCAATCAACAACAAAGTCGTTACGTTCAATCCTGTTTACTTTAGAACCCTAATTTATGTGTATTCATCACAAATAACAACTCTGACGATGTAAAATCACACATAAACATTGATATTCGATTAATAAAAGGATGAGACAAAACAATTGTGAATGAATTCAAAGGAGAATTGTGAGATCATTACAGAAATTGTCTTTCAACACGGGTAAAAGTACATAAAAAAGTTGCCAGTCTGTTGGTCACTATTTGCGTTAACTAATTCATTAGCCTTCTATTTGAAATATGCTATTATGTCTACTTTTCGTTAGCTCACACCAGGATGTATATGAGATACGTTTATTTAAGAACAGAGTTCTTGGAAGTTAGACAGAGAGCTTTTGTAGCGACAAAGACCACAATATTATTTCTTCTCCCAACTCTGAGAATCACGTTATCCAGCGATAGCCGATTCGGTCTAGGATTTGATAAGAATTCAGCTAATCCTTGTTAGACTTTTAGATTTCTGCACAGTGAATCTCCAGTGTTAACTTAAATTTTAATTCACATTTTTATGTTACATGAAATTCTGTAAGCAGCCGAGATTGCTTGTAAGCACAAGCTGTGTGTGTGAAGTTAAAATTTTAAATAAAAAAGTGTGTTTAAACCTTCTTCAGATTCTTTAGTTACTACTTTCACAGACGGAGCGGTAAATCGCCTGACCATTCTCAGTGAGATTCAAGAAATTATGTTAATGACAGAGCCGCCCAGACATACCGTCTGGTTAGGTGAGCCTACTGCGAAACGTAAGAGCCCGGACTCGAATCCCGGAAATGGCATGGCCGTAATTGCACGTCCTCTCATAGGAAGTAACGGTGGCCCACCTGTTAGGTGCATCTACAGTAAAATAGCCACCACTTGCGGCCTTATAGTAACCAAGCCTAAGTCGGCTAATTGCCCGCCAATGGGAAAAAATGTTAATGAAAGAATGAAATCGTACAAAATGAGATGAAGCATTGTTAATGAATATTAAGATGACAGTTTTCACTCACTTTAAATTCCTGATGTTCATTTAAAGTTTCGTTCCTCTAATGCAATAAAAAAAATTAATAACTTAAAAACTAAAAAATAACGAACTTTAGATTATTTAATGACTTTAAAAAATAACCTTAAAAATAATGGACTTAAAATTTGAGAATAATGAACTTGAAGATAATAAACTTAAAATTTTAACTTAAAGAACAATTCTTATAAATTGGCTTCTTTCAGTAATAATTGCTAATTTGTAAACGTTCTATCAACATCTAATATTCTGGTGGTTTCATCTACTGCTGAAAATGAATAATTCATTGAATGACAATATTATTAAAGCAAACTTTTCAGTACAAGCTTAAACTTTCTTTTTCTCGTCAATATATAGATAGCAATTGTGTTTATATAGAGAAACACTGAAATTTTATGTTAGTCTCGGCCATTTTCATTACTGATCTTATAATTAAAAATATCCTCATTACTTGTACGTATTCAGTATACAAAATTTTAATATATATATATATATTTAAAATACATTTTCCGTTTTCCTACACCCATATCAAAAACATAAAATCTACGAAGCACTTAATTCACGAATATACAAACCAAGTAATTTTCCAAAGACTTCCCTGCTGATTCTGTTTCAATGGTAATGAAAGCCTGATCAGGTTTGTAAGCATCTAGAACAAAGCAAAAATTTCTCTGTAAAATTTCGAATTGCAACTTTGGTAACAAGTATTATGTATCTGAAATTCAATATGCTTCAATGCTTTTACATGCTTTTGCTTACCAGGGCTAGGATGATATGTTGAATTACTTGATGAGTAGGCCTTCCACGCTTTTATGGCAGTTTCAGGAAATGTGTCTTGAACCACGCAAACTCTAATTAAGAAGAAAGCAATTATGTATATAATGTTTAAGAAAGAAGGAGTTATGTACATAACAGATTATTACTATCTATGTAAGAAAGAAGGATGGAAAATTAATTATATTTATGGCATTTAAGTATAATTAAGAAAAGGGTAAATCAATTATTTTATTTAAATAAAGGCTTTGGAACTACAATTGACTACATAAGTCGCAAATAATGTCATCAATTTTCAGATATGAGATCATTAATCATCACTATCCTGATCTTATTATTAATAAAATGCCTCTCCATTTTGAGAATTACTGAATTAAAATTGCGGCAGGGAATTATACGCATAATGTAACTTTAGTTTTTATACCTACTTTTGACAATTTAAAATTAAGTTTTACCATATTGTAAGGATCTTAAGTTTTACTAACGTTTATTTTATTTTAAATCTTTACTATCACTTCTTATTTTCTACTTCCTGCCAGAATTATAAGCGTTGACGTATTTATGCAAAGTTTGTCTGGCGAACGCCAAGTATTTAAGTTGTGGCTTTTTGCCAAGCGAGAGAGAGGAAGCAGTTAGTCGAAGCAGGCCGCTTATCTTAGAAGTTTTACTCAGTTGCTGGTTGCCTTCCAGGCCAGAGGTTTAATCCTCTTGATAACTTTAAACGTATTGTAGTGTTCACAGTTCTCTGTACTACATACGGCTTCCTGTTAATATAAGGCCAATCTTCCACGTTTATTATTTCAAAGTTAAGTTAGAGTTTAGTTTATTTTTTATATTCTTACGTTTAGACCACAAGTAGTGGGTCTTTGTATTCCGAAGTACGGAAGTTATTGTAAAGAGAGAAAAATAAAGGGTTTTGTATACCCTTCTTGTGTATCCTGTCTACTTCCCACAGTTATTGAACATAGCTTTAGTAAGCTCTCTGTTCCGAGTCAGGTACTTGCATGTTCCCGAAGAAAGTAAGAAGGAACATTGAACCTGATAGTGGCGCCCAACAAAGAAGAATAACCATGGCCGAGTTTCAAGAAGAACCTGTGCTGCCTGCAGAAGCGGCTCAGAATCCAGAAATGCCAGCTGCCGCCCTGGAAGGATTTGGTTACATCGTCCAGACCATGCGCGCTTCGATGAAACCAGAAGCAACACAACATTTAATGGAAACTCACCGGTAACCAGTTTTTTGGAAAAAATTGGATGACCACTTCATGCTCTACCCCGTGCACGAATTTCAAAAAGTTACCTTAGCTACCAGCGCTTTGAGGGGCCAAGCGCTTAACTGGTTCAAATGTATAGGCAGAAGTCTCTTGGGTCAAGCAGGAAGTCCCACCTATACTTACGAGAATTTCAAGACTGCCCTAGTAAAAGCCTTCCCTGTTGTAAGGGATCGTGCGAAATTAGAAACGGAACTTTTATATCAGCAAAGAATCGAAAATCTCTCAAGCTTTATTTTAAGAAAAATTCACGTCTTCAAACTCTTGTATGGAAACCGTCCGGATCCTGAGATAATTCAAGTGATTTTGCCGAGGTTACTGCCCCAAGTGCAAGACTTTATTGAATTAAGAAATCCGACTACACTGGAAAAGTTATTTGAGCTAGCAATCCAGTTTGAAAGTAGAAGAACGGCGGACATTGAAAGAAGACGCCAATATCAACAGCGAAACCAATTTGGTGCGCCAAGACTACAGCAAACTCAAGCACACGGCTACGGAAGCAAAGCGAATCAGTGGGCAAGGAAACCCGAGCATTCAAAAACAGCCGGCGAACGTCGACAGTTCAATAGCAATCCAGGAAAAAAGTCTCAAGGCCAGTGGAAAAAGAAGGAAAGCACGGAAATGAAAAATAATTTTAAACTAAAACGGATTTCTGCTGACGGGAGGGTGCGGAAATCCGAAGGCCACGAAAACCCCTCTTCCTTCAAGTTAAATACAGTAATGGTGAAAAATTTGACTCTTCCGAAGATTGAAGTGTTGGTGAATAATATCCCAGCCACCGCACTCCTGGATACAGGCGCGCAGTGTTCCTGTGTGGCAGAAGATTTTTTTAGGAAGTATTTTCGGAAATACCGCATATATAATTCGGATAATACGACAGTGTTAGCGGCGCAAGGAGAAAAATGTAAGTGTATAGGTAAATTACCGCTGTATGTCCGTATCAAGGACGAACAAGTAAAGGTGATGTTTTTTATAGTAAAGAATCTGCAAGCACATATTATCTTAGGAATAGATTTTCTTTCAGAGGCACAAGCAACGCTAGATTTTAATGAAGCGTCCCTTAAGCTGACAATGAAACCAGTTCGTGGAGAAAAGGCTGAACCGCCGATGTTAAATCTTGACCACCAGCCTAATGACGAGCAACGAAGAATCCGACAAGTGGTAAGTGAATTTGCTTCGTTATTTAGTGATATTCCAGGATTTACTCAGGTTACTAACCATAGTATTGACACCGGAGATTCAATGCCAGTTCGCCACAAAGCCATACCGGTATGATAAGAATAAGGAAAAAATTATAGAATGGCATATCACCGATATGCTACGTAAAAAGATCATAACGCCCATCTCAAGTAGTTATGCTAGCCCGGTGGTTTTATGTAAGAAAAATAATGACTATCCTTTGACACATCCAAAAAGGTGGAGATTCGCAATTGACTACCGTAAATTAAACTCCATAACTAAATATCCGGTATATCCGTTACCTATTATTGAAGAAATTCTAAGGAACATAACATCCACCAAATATATGACGACTTTAGACTTAACGACTGGTTATTTTCAAATAGGGGTTAGGCCTGAGGACGTGCCTAAGACTGCTTTTATAACCAAGTCTGGCACTTATGCATTTTTGCGTATGCCGTTTGGCCTTTCAGGGGCGCCCGCAACATTTCAGCGATGTATGGACATTGTGTTAAGACCTGTTCTTGGAAAGTCCACATTTATCTATTTAGACGATATCATTATTACTAGTGATAATCTCGACCAACATGTACAGGATTTAAGACAGGTGTTTTCTTTATTAAATGAGGCCGGTCTAAAAGTTAATGTCGAAAAGTGCAAATTTGCAGCCCCTGAATTAAAATATTTAGGTTACAAAATATCTCAGAAAGGAATCGAGACAGACGAATCAAAAATAATCGCTGTACAAAAGTATCCGACTCCAAACACGGCGAAGAAGAAGCTCTCTTCTTTTCTAGGACTTTGTTCATATTATAGGTCCTTTATAAAAGATTTTGCAGCTATTGCTGAACCATTGTTAAAATTAAAAAGGAAAAAGGCAAGATTCTCGTGGACGGCCGAAGCCAATAGTGCTTTCGAAAAATTAAAACAAGCATTAACGCAAGCCCCTGTGTTGAAATTTCCTGAAAAGGATGAGAATTTAGAAATTTCAGCGGATGCTTCGGATTATGCGGTAGGAGCGGTACTTTCGCAAAATCAGCAGCCCGTGGCATTTTTTAGCCGAACTTTAAATCAAACACAAAGAAACTATTCCGCGACCGAGAGAGAGAGGCACTTGCAGTTCTGTTAGCAGTGCAAAAGTTCCGAGTCTATTTTGGAAAGGCGCCAATAACAGTGTACTCTGATCATGCGGCGGTAACTAGATTGTACTCAGGGAAAAACTTATCCCCAAGGTTAATAAGATGGGCACTCAAGCTACAAGAATATAATCTGGTAATCAAGCATACCCCCGGAAAGGAAAATATCGTAGCAGATGCCCTATCCAGAATTAAAATAGATGAAGAAGGTAATACTGTAAAGGTGGCAATGCTCACAGCATGTACAATAAATTCCCGAGAAACTGTAATAACCGAACTGGGTAAGGATCCTGAGTTTGGAAGCATTTATGAGTATTTAAAGGATCCTGAAAATTTTAGCCACCAAGATATTGTGGCGATAAGAAATAGGGCGGCCCATTACGAACTAATAGATGGTCTATTATTTTATACAAAAACTACGAATTCCAACAACGAATTTCGACCTGTTATCCCAGCTAGTCTTAGATTAAATATCCTGCAGGAGCTCCATGACAGCCCTTTAGCTTCTCATGCTGGTATTCGAAAAACTATCCAACGCGTACGCGAGGCAGGCAGTCTACTTTCCTGAACTGCAAAAGTTAACAAGGGCGTATGTCCAGTCCTGCCCAACATGTCAAGCAGTTAATTATATTAATTTCCGCCCGGCCGGGTTTCTAAATAGTATTAAATCCGAATTTCCAAATGAAATAATTGGCATCGATTTATTGGGCCCTTTCCCAAAAAGTCAGTTAAATAAAAAGTCGCTATCTCCTTGTTATGGTTGATCATTTTAGTAAATGGACCGAAATTGTTCCCTTAAAACGAGCCTCCGCGAAATTAGTTACTGATTCTATTTTAAATAAATATATTTTAAAATACGGGGCGCCCCTAAAAGTTATATCGGATAATGGTCCTCAATTTGTAAGTAATATATTTGAAGACATGTGCCAAAAACTGGGCATACGTCATTTAAAAATGGTCCCGTATCGGCCGCAATCAAATATAGCGGAACGGGTCAATAGAAATATAGTGAAAATTATCCGTAGTTATGTTAAAAATTTTCATAAAAGCTGGGATAACTATGTCAATGAATTTGCTTTCGCCCTTAGGACCGCAAAACATGATACAACGGGCAAAACTCCTGCTGAGTTATTTTTAGGCAGAAAGATTATAACGCCGTTAGATAAATTATTTTATGTGCAACAAAGAGCCCCAGAATTTAAAATGGGTGATATAGAAAAACTAATTAAAAGAAGCAAAAAAGAATACGGAAGTAGCACAGAAGAAAACAAAAGCTTGTATTATGACTTGAAACGACGGGGAGTAACTTATAAAGTAGGGGATGAAGTTTTAAAAATTAAGCATTCACTTTCTTCAGCACCAGAAGATAAAACTGCCAAATTTTTTCCACGATTTGAAGGACCATATGTTATAGAAAAAATAACTCACGCTGTAGTAGTGTTAAAAGCCAGAAATGGTGAAACCTGCTCCGCAAACATTGATCAAATCAAACCCTACTATGATCGTAATAAAATGCAAATTTTTCAGATCTTTTGCAGGATCCGGCACGGCAGACACCGCAGGCACAAGCTCCAGAGGTGGAAAACGACAAGTACAAGGGCAAGCCATTAAGAGGCAGGAGCAAGTGAAAAGAAAGTTTCCCCGCGGAAAAATTGAAGGTAACAAGAAAAAGAAGCCGTTCCACCGTCCAGAAAAGAGAGTTCACGAACACCCCCAGAATGAAGAAGGGAGAAGGACGACGTATGCAAAGAGAGCCAGGAGAAATGACGGCAACTATAACCCGGCTCTAAAACGGAAGATCTACTCATCCGACAGGAACTCTCCGCAGCAAATGTCGCCGAACTGCGGAAGGGCCATCAGCGGCGGAGGAAAAAAAGTTACAAGGAAAATTTGAACGGCCAGCAACGAGGTCCAAGCAGGAACACGAAAGAAGTTTCCCGGTTCCGCCAAGACCAGCTGCCATCAAACGGCCAAGACCACACAGCACAGGCAGAGGCGAAAAAGAAGGTATTCAAGGGTGACCGAACTGGAAAAAAAGGAAAGCTTCCAGAGGAAGGCACTGAAGGGCGAGCCCGTACAAGAAGGAGGATAAATCAAACGAGACTCTGCTGCTACCTTTAAGGACTGGGCCCAGAAAAGAATGTCCGAATATCACAAAGATAAGTAAAATTTTATGTTACTTTGCAAACTTAAGTTAATCTTTCATTCTTACTGCAAGTGGCAGATTTCAAGAAGTTTTACCTCATGCGAGGTCTACCTTTATCGCCAAAAGGGCGAGAAATGAGTTGTTACCGATTTTGGTATTATGTTTTTCAATTACTCGCGCGTAAAACTAAAGTTGATGTATAATAGCGTTGTGTAAAGACTTAAATATTGTAAAAAGTTATTGTATAAATTTTATTTAAAACATTCTAGCAAGAAAGAAGTTTTAGTCTGAAAGACTTTTTGAAATGTAGTATTTCAATGTAGAAAGAATTGGCACTTGCTTTGAAAAGAATAGAAGTTAACAATGTACTACTAATGTATGTTTTCAAATGTGTAAAATTAACGGCATGTTGATATGTTCTTATATACAATGTGAACTGTTATTTTAAATGTTAAGAAATACCGTGATATGGTAAAAGTGAAAGTAATGTTAAAAAATTTTTTTTTATTCGTGTGACTGTAAAAAGACTTAAATCATGGTGAATATGTGTTAAAGGTTGAATGATGTAGTTAGGCTCTCTGACGCTACACTTCAGAGTTAGCCACTTTCAGAATAGTACCTCAGGGTTTAGAGTTGAAATTAGGGTGTGTTAAGAGGTCTTGGTATGTTGAATTTTAACACGTTAGTGTTTTGATTGTAGGAGGAAGTGTTGAACACGTAGACAGAAACACATTCGTGTTTGGTGTTCTTTTACAACACATGTCAGAGAGCACGGGGAGAGATAATTAAAATAGTCATGAATGAAATAAGAATGTTAAGTGAAATATAATTATATATGTTACTTGCCATTTCATTGTGTAACATTTCATTAAACTAGTTTTCCTTCCAGATCTCTGGAAGGAACCAGAATTGAATAAAAGCTCCTGTTTAGATGCAGTACAGATGAAAAAAAAATTGTTGTATCCTGGGAGCTGCTATTGTAAAAACAAATTTCTTTCTTTTAAATTTCTAGTTTCTAGCGAAAATGTTTGTAAAAGATTGGCCTCGCGTTAGATTCTAGAGCTAAAAGTTTTCAACAAGGTCGTTTTAGACCTCAGTTTCAAACTAATTAACTCTGGCGGGAAGTATGTAAGGATCTTAAGTTTTACTAACGTTTATTTTATTTTAAATCTTTACTATCACTTCTTATTTTCTACTTCCGGCCAGAATTATAAGCGTTAAGGTTTTTATGCAAAGTTTGTCTGGCGAACGCCAAGTATTTTTGGCTTAAGTTGTGGCTTTTTGCCAAGCGAGAGAGAGGAAGCAGTGAGTCGAAGCAGGCCGCTTACCTTAGAAGTTTTACGCAGTTGCTGGTTTGCCTTCCAGGCCAGAGGTTTTAATCCTCTTGATAATTTTAAACGTATTGTAGTGTTCACAGTTCTCTGTACTACATACGGCTTCCTGTTAATTATAAGGCCAATCTTCCACGTTTATTATTCTAAAGTTAAATTAGAGTTTAGTTTTATTTTTATATTTTACGTTAGACCCCAAGTAGGAGGGTCATTGTATTCCGAAGTACGGAAGTTATTGTAAATAGAGAAAAATAAAGGGTTTTGTATACCCTTCTTGTGTATCCTGTCTACTTCCCACAATTATTGAACATAGCTTTAGTAAGCTCTCTGTTCCGAGTCAGGTCCTTGCATGTTCCCGAAGAAGGTAAGAAGGAACATTGAACCTGATAATTGGTTTCCCCTCGATTTTGGGTAGATACAAGGCCCTTTGTAAAGGGAATAAAAGGGGGGAACCCCCGGTGAAAGGATCTTATTCCTTCTCAAAAAATGTAGTATAGTGAGCCGAAGATGCTTCCGTTCTTAGCATGCCTTAGTGGTGTAGTGGTCAGCACACGCGGCGCGTATTCGAGAGGTCCGTAGTTCGAGTCCCGGTGAGGGCATTTCTCATTTTTCATGTCTCCTGCTTCGAAATAGCCTAATGTTTCTATAACCATTCTCCTCTAAATACTGAAAGAAAATAGTATTAGACTGAAGGAATCAAAAGGCTTGTTATTCCATGAAATTTTATGCAGTTCATTATTCAGTATGGTGCATAATAGATAATTATTTTAATAAGATATAAAGTTTGAAGCGTATTATTAATAATCAAGAGATTAATGTTTCGAGAATGGTTGCTTTGCTTTGGAAATTAACATGCACTTATATCAAAACAGAAGAGAAACACGTCCAAAGTGAAGCATAAAATTACCCTTATGTATTCCAAAATAGCTGCCTTGACTGCATGTTGAAAATGTCATCTTCTCTAAGCACATATGAGAGTCTGCAAATTTTCCAAAATAGTACATTAAAGTCCTATGTCCAATCCATTTTGTTATGTATTATTTTAGGGTATAATGGTTTTGTTTTCGAGAAAAATAAATTTCTTCGGTGCTAACTTTTATAAGGTACCATGTAAAAATTAAACGTTTGGATTTCTTAGAAAAAAAAATAGTACTCTGTGTCCAAATCCTCTTTTAGGTTTAATCTTACAATCCTGAAGATTAAGAAAAGATGAGTGTCTACACTGAAAAAATTTTTAAACACTCAAAAATGCTAAAAAGTCATGACTTTGAAATGTTAGAATAAGAGATATAAAGCATAAATCGGCAATGGACAAAATGTTATCCTAAACTATAACAGAGGCGAAGGACAATCAGTTGTAAACAGCAAGCTTGCAATAACAAACGTAAATAGAAGTAAACATTGGGATTTGTTTTAAATATATACAAATTATATCTGGTGCAAAATTTCTAAATAAATCTAATGTAAAATTTGGTAGATGCTGTAATTTGTGAAATAAATATGCATTAACGAAATCTGTACTATTTTAAATGAATTGTCATTTTTCCATGTCTGAACTCTTCGTTCTCCGTTTTTGAAATGTTCTGTAAAATTTAAATACATGAAATATAGAAAAGCAACGAAACAAATCACGGTGAAAATAAATATGGTAAAAATAAATAAAAAGATACCAAAATTAAAATTTAAAAAAAAAAATGTGAAAGTTTTCAGATTTTTTTTTAACGTTTTTACCTTTATTTCTTAAATATCGTGTTCTCGCACTTAAACTACATAAAATTCAATTCAACAGCAATATCAAAAAATATTTAAAAACAGCATATTTTTAGAATTTCCGATACACAGTCTCGCGCCCTGGAGATAAAAGTAATTGTTCTTTACATTGTTGCCATTACTCGCTTTGAAATCGTTAAGTTTGTTAATCAAAAATTCGTTAACGTTTTGAAAAATGTGAGATAGATAATAAAACAAATTCGGGATTCCAGGTGACCGTCTTCAGGTGTCTAGTTACTGTCGTTTTTTCGCAATACCAGGAACATACCTACATTCATACACATTCTTCTTTATTTAATTTCTTTTAAAATAATACAGAGCGATACTATTTGGTGGCAACAATTTAAAAAGGGATTAAGCCTTTAACATAGATTCAATGCAAAATCCCGTTTCGAGACTAATAGCCCTTCTGAGCTAACGCTCCTTTGGGCTAATAATTCTAATTTAACAGCACGTGGCTAAATATGCTATTAAAATAGATCAAATACTAAGTATGCTACTAAAATCTGTTATAATGGAATTTTGAAGTAATTAGTAATTCAACTTTAAAGAAAGAATACATTAAATAAAAATATTTATATTTATAATCATTAATTTGATTCTGTACTATTAAGTGTCTCAGCCTGTTAGCGAACCTCATTAAAAAGTATTTCATTAATAAATTAATACTATTATAAATGTTTGCATACCTATATATCCTTGGAAAAGATGGACAGTGGTTTCTTTTATCGTGCAACAATTTAGCTAATTCCCTGGAAAAGTATATAAAGTAAAATGTTTAATAACTTAGAACTTAATATACTGAAGTACAATAAAACTAATGAAATCTTAGATTCCTGTTATACTTTTTATCCTAACTGAATATTACATTACGCAATATTAACATGATAATTTTATTAAAATTTCATTTTCGTAGTAAAAATGTTTGATTATAAGATATTTAATTATGAGCATGATTTTTAAGTGGAATCTGTAATAAATGCACTTTTCAAGTTAGTTGTGCTTAGTTTAATTTGCTCGAATTCAGTGAAACTGCTTAAATCTTTCTCATGCATGATTAAATTACGCACGCGTTAATTTAAAATTTAAATTTTTCTATTGAAATAATATATTATTTTCAGTTGTCCAAAAAAAAAAAAAAAACATTGAATGGGCACAATCTTTTTCCAATGTCATTCTCTGCACGTAGAATACAAAATTTATTTGCTTTCATTCGCGACAGATTTGAATGTAAAATAATCGATAATAAGCATCTAATGGTACTAACTAATAATAATATTTTCTTTTAAATGATTTAATTTTACGACATATCTGCACGCTATAATAAATACTATTTTATACTATTCTAATTAATATACTAATAATATTCTAAATACAATACTATTCTAAACTATTCTAAATAGTATATTAATACTATTCTAAATAGTATAGTAATACTATTCTAAGCTAAAGAGTATAGTAATACTATTCTAAATTAAAGAGTATAGTAATACTATTCTAAACTGAAGAATATAGTAATACTATTCTAGATATCATTCTATAACTAATTTTATCTCAGATCTGTAATCTTAATTTTAGCCTATAGAGCAGCTCGAACTAAAACCATCGATCTACGAGTAGTAAACCTTGGTAAAAGTAAAAGCGCTAAGATTTACTTTTAACAAAAACTTCCTAACTTTTTATTGCTATAACTGGTTGTACAGTATATGAAGTTATTCACAAACATGCATATATCTAAATTCAGAGCTAGACTGAAAAAAAGTAAAAAGGCGCAAAAGTGTAAGCATTTTAAATCAACATGACAAAAATATTCTTAATATGGTAATACTTACACAGAGGCAGATATCTCCGCTGTTATATCTTTGAATGTGAGCTGTAATTGTTTAGTCTGTGGATCAGTATCTCCTACAGGTACGATTTTTAAAATCCTTTTTTCTCCAGTCGCCTTTGTTATTTCAAAAATCTCTCCGAAACTTCCTTCCGACAGCTTCGAGATTGAGCTGTGCAATCTTTATAAGAAAAAAATTTCATTCTTTCTTCAAGAGCATTTGATCGCACGAATATTTTCAAAAATATCAAACAAAAATTAATTACTGGTAAAATTTATTTTCACTTTTGGAATTAACTGAAAATTAGAAAACTTCAAGCCTATTATTTTTAAAAAATAATCGTTTTCTTTCTTCGCGGAAACAAATTGTTGCTCCGAAAATTTTTTTTCGTATGAAAGAAATCTTACGAAAATTCAGCACTTGTAACTTCTCTTTTTTTATCTATGATATTGTGTATCTAGACAAAACCCTTGGCTGGGAAGTAAAAGGTGAAGATGTGGAGAAGTTACTAGAGGACCATAAAATTAGCTCAACAAGAAATAATTTCAAATTCAGAAGCAGCAATAAAAAGCGATTGTGGAAGAGATTGCTTCAGAAGAAGAGGAAGAAAGGAAAATGACCTTCGTTTTTTTATTCGTGAAACTTGCACAAGTTGATTTAAATGCAAAGGTTTCGCATAATTATTTATCTTCATAAAGCAGTATCAAGCTACAACATAAACATTTTCAATGTTAATGTCATGTTTCATTTTAGAAATATTTTAAAATGTAGGCAAAAGCAAATCACATTGGATAAATCTAGGATTCGTCTTGCAGACGCAGACAATGGAAGACGTGTGTGTGTGAAATCTCCAGCGCCACCTATTTGTTCATTATCGCCCAGTATTTTGAATTGTACTGGGCTTTTAAGTTTCTTTTGGAGCTGTGTATTTTCCGACATGGCGTCGAACGTGAATTTGGATAGTGATTATGAAAACGACATTGATATTTCAAATATTTCGGACTGTGATATTGTTTATATTCCCGCTTAAATGAATCTCAACTTCTGACAGGTTTATTGAACAAGGAAAATTATGAAAAAAAAATTAAAGAAGGAAAAAATTCTTACAGCTCAGGTGCGGCAAACCAGAAAGGAACAGGACAATGTACTGCAGCTATCTTGAGCACACTACAGACATCTACCCTACTGGCAGACTTTCTAAGTTTCTTCGGTACTATAGGATGCAGTCCGATTTCCTTTAAAGGTAAAAATATGGAATAAAAATACTTTTAAAAAAATCTGAAAGGTTTCAAATCTTAAATTACGTCCAAACGGACGTTTTTTAACGTTTTGTGTGTTACCTTTATTAATTAAATATCATATTCTTCACACTTAAACCATAAAATTCAGTTCAACAGCAATATCACAAAATAATTTTAAAATGAGCATATCTTTAGAATTTCCGATACACAGTTCCGCGCGCTGGAGATAAACAGGTTTTTCCCCCGTTAGATTGTTGCCATTGCTCCCTTTTAAATCGTTGAGTTTGTTAATCAAAAATTCTTTAAAGATTTGAAACATATGAAATAGATAACAAAACAAATTCCAAATTTGGGCTTCCAGATGCCCATATTCGGGTGGAAACGTACGTTATTCAAAATTGGATGGCTCTAGGTACCATTGTTTTATCACAATGCGAGAAACATACATACATTTGTGCAGATACTCTATTATTTAATTTCTTCAAATATAATGCAGGGTGATAATATTTGGTGGCAACAATTTGAAAAGTGAATCGGACATTTATATAGTGAACCAACGCAAAATACCAAAACGAAAATAATAGTCCTTCAGGGCAAATTTCCCCTTTGGACTAAAAATACATTTATTATCTTTATGTTGAACATTATGAAAACATTTTAAATCTCTACATTAGCTTTTCGTTTACCTAAGCAACGCAGAGGAAATAAATAATTTTAATTGATTATACGCAAACTTTTCTCCTTTGTCACTGAGAAAGTTGTTAGAAAATGTTTTCTTAGTGTTACAAACAGCATTTTCATGTCAAAAGTGTCAGAATCTTTTTTCCATTCTATTTCTACCTTCTGTTAATAGAATATTTGCCCAGATAGTCCATAAATTCCTATATTATATATTCCTCTTCTCCAATATTCCTACTAATTCCTACTTTCTCACCTATTAATAAAATTCGTATTTTGGATCTTAGTGATCCTATTAGATTCGAGTTCTTATGGAATACATCAGACTTATAGTACCTAAAATTGCATATTAAACACACGTATCAAAACAGGCGAAAATCATAAATCTTCTCTAATTATTATTAGTTCCTCAATCATTCTTTTAATTTTTTCTGCCAGAATTATCAAAAAAAGTTTCAAATTTATTTTGAAGCCTTCCATAATTATAAAAAATCTGCCAAGTTGATAATAATGGAATTCCTTTCCTTTCAAAACTACGTAAAAGCTTTTAACTGTCTTTTTAAATGAGCTCTTTTCCTCTTTGTTCCTCAATTTTGCTTATTATATGGCTTTAACAATTATCGAATTTTTATGTATTTATTTCGTTTACTTTGTGCTTCAGTAATGAGAGTCAGACACATTTCTCCTAATTTCGTTGTTTATTCCACAGCTCTGCTTGGCTTTCGATGTTACTCATTTAATTAACCTCTGTTGGTCTTTTAACTTGAATTTCTTCAAATTATTCCAAGCGAATTATTCTTCGAGTTGACGCCCACCCCACTTAGCAGCTACATTTAAATACTCAGCTATTCATGATTGTCAACGAGTTTATAACTATCGAGGAGAAAATTTTAAGAATACATCTTACTCTACTAAACTAGCAGTTAAGCTCTTATCTCCTTCCAATCTGTTTAGTTCTTTTTAACTTAAATCGTCCCTCCTCTATATACTTCTTACAACAAGAAACTAAACACAAAGAAGACTGAAAAGCACACTAAAATTTATTAGTCAAGTAAAAAAAAATACCCTAAAACATTTTCTTATATTTCTTATTTTATAAATTAAATTTTACAATTACCTGTTAAACATGTGAATATTATTTTTTATAGTTTGAAGACGTTCTGCAAAACTATTGACTCTTTTCTTGCTAAACAAGATTTCTCATTTATACCCTACCTACTAAAAGCATATTTAGTCCAAAGGGGCAATTTTCCTAGAAGGACTATTAATTTCGTTTTGGCCTTTTTCGTTGATTCACGATAAAGTTGTTTCACTTTTCAAATACCGAATAATAGGCATCTGGTAGCACTAATTTGGAATTTGCTTTATTATCGATTAACATTTTGTAGCAATTCAACGAATTTTTGATTAAGAAACTCAACGATTTCAAAGCGAGCAATGGCAACATTGTACAGGGGGGGGGGGAAACTTTGTATCTCCAACGCGCAAGACTCTGTATCGGAAATTCTAAAGATATGCTCATTTTAAAATTATTTTGCGATATTGCTGTTGAACTGAATTTTATGACTTGTGTGCGAAGAACATGATATTTAATAAATAAAAGTAATTCGCAAAGTGTTAAAAAAACGCCCCTTTGGACTAATTTCAAATCTGATTTTTACTTATTAATTTTATTACTTTTTAATTGTAGTTTTTTCAGATTTTTTTACTTATTTATTTTATTATTTTTTAATTGTAGTATATTGGACCCTTGCTAAACTAAAATAGATTAAAGGAAAATATTTTGTTTTTGGATTATTGATAAAATTGGATCTCTGTTTCGAGATTAGATTTATGTATTTAATGTTGCTGAAATGAATAGCAAATACAAAAATTTTATAGCCATCTTCAATTCTGTACGAGATGCTATCATACGTTACCCGCCTGTAAAACACCCTTCACGAGTTTCTCTTTTAGTGCGTTTTTCACAAGTCGGAGTTATTAGGAAATATACCTGACATTTTTACTCGATTTAGACGCTATATGCTGTTATAAAAATGGATTAGGTTATTTTACTAATAACAATATTCTAAGCTAAATGCACTTAAAGGCTTATTGTTGTGAAATGCCTAGCTGCGGTAAGATAGCTTCTCGCAAAGCGGGTTTAGTGTTGCCAGAAAATGAAAAAGAAAGGCGGCGGTGCCAGATTTGGGGCCAAATCGCCCATTTAACGACAAAATTGGCTATATGCTATAGGCTGTGCGAGAACATTCCAGTACAATTCTTACTGGTTTTCCCAAAAATGTTTCTCGAAGGCAGGTCAAAAGCTATATACACGCTGCCTGTACGCGATGTACCTTGAGTAGTCGAGAGTATGCTGAATTCAATAGTAGTGCTTTGAGTTCAGAGATTAGCTTGAGAGCGACCGAACCAACTTTAGTGCTTTGCCCTGAAGCTGTCTTCCGTTATATGCTGATAACCTGAAAGCTGTATTTCTGATTGTTTCAGAGTGTTTGTCGTAATTTTTCGACGCCTTTAACGCGTATATGGAACTGTCTTGTGTAATATTGACGAATAAATCGTGTTTTGATTCTTCTTCAAGTGTTGTCATCAATCACTTCAAATCCACTAACTCGTAAAACGCAAATTCTTTTCTAATTTATGACACAATTTTCATTCATGAATGTCGATTTTCATTCATTTATTTACCACTGCATTTCCTTATGAACGAGATCTTGCTAAAGACATACATACCTTTACACAACATACCTTTACCAATATTTACAGAATGAATCGAGGAAGAAACAGAAAGAGATATTTTACCAAAATCTACGCTACATTTCGAATATTCTAACTTTCAGACATCCCGAGAGTACAGAAATATATAAAATCCTCATCCTATACCTAATATTGCTTACTAATACCCATCCAGTAAGGAATTATATTTTCCTGTAAAGGGACTCTTCTCAATACAAAATTACAAAATAATGTTACGAGTTATAATAAATATTTTTTTCAACTTACAAACTTGTTGTTCTTCCCAGATAAAAAATCTCTTGCATTCCTGACCAAATCTTCTACAGTTTTCCAGAATAATTTATGCGTTCCAGATGCGTTTGTTTGTATAATCTTAGACAGCAGGATACCCAGTTTCCTATTCAATGTTCGTGACCGAAAATTTCTTGGGCTTTTTAGACAGTAGGTGATTACATCTTCTCTCTCTAAAAAGATAATTCCCAAAGTAAAATGTTAAAATGTACAAAACGAAACAAGCACTGGGGATAATACTAACGTAATAGGCATAAAGAATTATGCTGAATGAGTATTTATTATTAAATTTCATTTTTCTTTGGAGAAAAATTCGCATGAAATCTCAATATTCAAAACTTAAAAAAACTATTTTTTAAGTTCAGTGTTTTGGAGATACATAAAAGTAAGAGGCAAAATGTCTCAATATTATTCACTAGGACCAAGCAAATCAAGCGTTAGAAGAAGAAATAAACTCAGGCAATCAGTTATTAAAGTGTGATCATCGGCCCTTTCGTTTCTGAAATACATTTCTTACTTAAAGTATATACGATCAACTTAGGATTAGTAATATTTATGTTTAGCTTTGGTTAGTATTAACCTAATCTGACTGATAGAGATCAAATACGAAATTTTAGTCTTCGGTAACATCTGAAAGCATGATTAGAAATAAAGACTTTAGAATAAAAGTTAAAATTTTGTTTACTCTCATCACCTGTTTTCTCTAAAAAGGGAGCTTTTATGTCTCACTTCTGATTGATTTCTTACATTTTAGCAACCCTCAGCGAGTATTATTTCAGATACAAAATATGATTCATCATTTGTATAAATAAAACAATTTATTGTGAACTTTCTTTGGGTCTCAACTAAAATAAAGAAAGAAGAAAGCACAAAAAAAAAAAAAAAAAAAAAAAAAACTGCAAATTACAATCTAAGAAATTATACATTTCTAAAGTTTATTCTCTTTTCAAAAGTAACCTTGAATATCGACACCGAAATCTTTCATCCTACTTT